GCGCGTTATTACCCTCTATTAAGTCGGTTTTCCACTAGCGAATTTTTTTGCGCGAAGCGACCTTTTTCCTTTGTCGCCATCCATTTTGCAGCCCTCGAAAAGTCAAACCCGTCAAAATTGAGGTCGGCAAAAGAGGGCCGACCTAAATCTGACCTAGGTCGGCACATGTCGGCATTTCTTAAAATCTGTTCCACATCTTGGAGCACTATTAATCACACATTCACGAATCATTGAAATTGGAATATAACTGGAACGTTATCTCCAGCCGGAAAATTCGAAAGTTGGAGCAAAATTTTAACTCCAAATTTGATCTTCAAACATCTAACGTATATACACAATACCCGTCAGTTTTTAAACCATATGCCGTAGTGTGTTTAGTTAATCGAACTACGAATCGTATTCTATAATCGCTGACATTTTAAAAGCTATCAGCATAAAAAATTCTTACTTTGGTTGAATTAAGGTGGGCAAAAATTTGCATTTAGCCCGGCATTGCCGAATACCGACCTCGTTTTCGAGGACTGATTTTGCCACGTCTTCCAAGTGATACCAACAAAGGAAAAAGGTCGCTTCGTGCGAGAAAATTCATTAGTGGAAAACCGACTTTATTGCCTCTTTTATAGAACAGTAGAATAAGCAACAACAACAACCACCACCACCAAACAAATTTAATTACCTAATTATGATTTCAATAATATTATGTTTTTGGACTAACTGCCAGAAGTGAAGATACTGTATTCGAAAAAATTTGCATTGCTGCATGTGTGGTTTCTTTGATGCATGCTATTCGTGATATTCGGTTTGAATTCAATTATTCAGGAGGTCAATTTTGGTGTCTTCAGTGGTTATCTTTAGCCAATCCAGTTTTGTCGACTGAGATAACAATTTGCCAATTAGCTGACGAGTGGGGGGGGTTCCACCCCCCACACCCCCCTGTAGCGCCGCCCCTGGATATAAAGAGCTTAAAGTGTGCAGCTTATCAGTTTGTGAATCAGGAGTTAGTTTGTAATGTCTCAGTTTAGATCCCCAACTGAAATTAATTCCTTATTTTCCATATCACACTTAGAAAGAAACAATTCAAAGTTGGTACATATATCGAGCTCCGAATCAGGTGGTTGATACCAGGTAGCAATTAGAAGAGGCTTACTGTGTTGCCTAGTAATCTCTACACATATCATTTCTAAATTATCAGGGACTGGATATTTCTCTCAGAGTATAGAGCCACACCACCCCCAAATCTATTACAATCAAAACGAACAATTGTATAATTATCAATATGAATTTCTGAATCCAAAATTGAGGAGTCTATTTTAGTTTCATTAATGGCCAAAATGTCAAAAGGGTTATCAGACAGCAAGATACGAATCTCATGGATATGTTTTAAAAGACTGTTAATGTTTAAATTTGCAATCTTCAGGCGCTTTAAATTTGGTATGTTAAAATCAGGCAGAAAGGAAGTTGAATTTGTTGAAACTGACTCGCTGTCAAAAATTATCATATTATCATTCTTGATTTCATTATTAGTTAAATTTGAGCTGCTATTCATTGTTGAGTCTATCAAGTTCGTCTTGTTGGCGATTTCAGAGTTTTGCTATTTGGTGTAGTGTCTCTTCTAGTTGAAAATTTTTAGGATAGTTGTCCATGAAAACTGCCTTCCATGTAAGAACTTATTAAATTCATTTCTCGACGACTAACAGAGGGGACTGTCATCGACACTGCATGAAAATAGTGTGGGCTCATGAGCTTTTCCCCTCAAATTTTGCTTTTCAATGTTTGGCATACAATTTCTAAGGAAGTTGAAGTTTACAGCATTGTGATTCACTGGTTTTTGAAAGCATCTGGGTTTTTTGTTGTTGGAAGTTCTAGGTTAACTCTTGAACAATCTAATGATTGTTTTTAAAGCAAAGCAATTGAAGGAAAACTTACATTTTCATACAAAGATGATGAGTGGCAATATTTATGTTGGACTGTTTTGAGCAGATACTTCGAAGAACATGATATGATTGGACCTTGTATCTTAAAAGTGTACTTGGAATTGACACCCGAACAAAGTGGTAAATTTTGTTACCCGGTGTGTTGGGCATCATAATTCACAGGAATAGTACACAGCGGCATTTATACTGGCTATGTGACCTGTAGTTTAATGTGGCATATGCATCATTGAAAAGGCTTTACTTGGCTTTTTATCAATGTGTAAGGTATAACTTGGGTAAGCCAACATTTCTTTGTAATGCAAGTTACATTTTCATATCTTTAATGTGTGCATATTTTTAATTTTTTGTAAAAAATTAAGCGCAATATGTTGGTGGAGAAAGTAACGAGTGCTTCATAATAATGCTCAGATTTTGTATACAGATATTCGTATTTTATTCAAAATCTACCCTTTATCACAATTTTTTTACTCTTATGTTAAGGTATACATAATCCTTGACTTGATAACACGATGATCTACCCAATACAAAATGGGCAAAGGAGCGATCTTTGCAGAGAAACTTGACTGTTCGATGAAATCGGTAGTTTAGAGACCCTATTTTCATTGCAGTATTTCATGACAATTTGTTGGTCGATTTCTAGTTTATATTGTAGAACAGGTTCCTAATGAATTAAATCAATTGTCTATCTTCTAAACAGTAGTAATAAGTGACTCATTTTTGTTGATGGATGTTGAACTCATTTTAGACATTTGTTCATATACAACAAGTGCACTACCGACTACTGAATCACTGTTTGCAAAGAAATTAGCCTATATCACCACCATAATTCAAGCTTATTTTTAAAGTCAAATAGTTTCTCCATGGATAAAAGTAGTTTTTATGGAGTCAAAAATAGGGCAAGCTAGTATGCATTTAAGAGGGCCTCTCAGTAAGATCCACCCACTGGTTCGGGGAAGGGAAGATAGATTTAGCTCATATTTTGCATATGAACTAGACTTTGGTCAATATTAATCGAGAACGTTTCAACTTTCTGTTTTATAGGAGTTATAGCCGTGTTAAAATTTGACCTTGCGAATATATTTTCAGACCGGAAATGAAGGGGAATTTTACAAGAATTCATCTGATTTTTTAAAAACGTTGTGATGCGTTTATCCCCTCCAGTTACTGTTCACATGCAAGATTAACACTAATACTCTCGTTTACATGGAGACTGAACAACTTTATTTGCTTAATACGATTTTTTTTATAGTTTTACGAAACTATGTTTCCAAGATGGCGGCGAGAGGCTGAAAATTGCTCATATTTTACTTAAAATAGCTCAAAAGTGGCACCTATCTGAAGTTCAAAAGGCATGTAATTTGAAAGTATACCTACTAAAGTTAAGTAATCAGGAATAAAACTTGTCTGCAAGCAATTTTCTGAAAAGTTATAAATCTCCAAATTGGGTCTATTTTTAGCTGTTTGTTTACATTCGCGTGTTCGCTGATCAGCGACACTAATAATTGAAGAGTTAAAATAAGCTGATTTATTACCCAGTAAACTTTCTTAGCTTGTTCACAAGATTATATACAATTTTGTGAAAATATAATTACAATATATACAAGCGATCGTGCACAGAACATTCTTGAATTCGAATTGCTTTACATTTATACTTAACTTACACTTGCACCAATTATACTTACACACACAGTTGTACGGTTACAACGATTCTGCTGATGTCTGCGACCCTGATATATCTTCTAATGTTATTAAATATATATTGGTAATATAATAAGAACTTCGTCAAAAACATTGACACAATACCATAATCTCCTGATTATGACTTTGATCTGCCGCTCCCACGGCGGGAGGTGCATGTCTGAACGACCAATGTGAGTTGAAAACTTACATAAGTGTCTCTGTGCGATGTTTAGGTCATGAAATAGTGCTACAGGTAATATGGTTTAATGCACTTTGCAGAAACTCGCCTGATTTTGACCTCGCTAGCTCAATATGATAATCAGAATCCTGTTTAGCCGAAGGGTTGCTATTTTTATAAAAATGCGTGTACTGACCCAAGTCTCGCCCGATTAGACAAATTTGGGTAACGTTTGTTTATACCCAATTCACAACTTTATATAACACATATGCCTAGTTACTATTGTTCTAGATTACAAAAGCATAAAATAAAATGGCAACCGGTCCGCAATGAAACATTTTTAGCCGGTCAATAATTAGCCTGCGTAGCAGGCGTTCAGGTGACGGGCGGGAACTGAGGGAACGCCTGCCCAAATTGGCTATGACAATTTGTTTTCGCCCATTAAGGATGATTGACGTTTTGTAATTAGCACCTTCACCCATTATCCAATCATAGTCGAGATTTATATTTAGCATCATGCATGCTTTTTGCTCGGCAACTACGGAGATTTGTAGAGATTTTATGCACTATTTAAAACTCGAGCAGCAGTGTTTTATCAGATATAAAGATGGTCTGATAATACACGCACTGCGAATGTTTTAAATTGCTTCTAGTATACGTTCATTGGCGATGTAGCTTTCAAAAAATTCGGTGTGTATATGTAGAGAAAATCATTAAAATTTATGTAAATCAAGGGAAATCTCTATCACATATCAAGGATACGACACGTTTATGATTTTTCTTTGTGTTTTCCTCATGAATTATTAATGAGTTTTTGAAGCTATTTTAGACAACAGTCAGTCACAACGTGCACAGAGCTTTTATCTTTTAAAAGACTCCTGAACCACGGTTGTTTAACTGCCGTATGTCAGAGATTGCGTAATATTCTATGACGTTTATTTTGTGAACACATGGAATACTAATGAGACGAGCGTAGAGTTTTCATATGGCAGCGTTTTTGTAATAAAGTTTGTGTTATTTATATTTTAATGAGTCTGAACCACGCATGAGTTGAGCCTTGAACCTTGGAGAAAGGAGTCCTTTGAGAGTTTTAATCTAAATATTTTACATGGTCCTTCCGAGCCGGATATTACAAAATAATACGTGAGTTTATACATCTGAATTTGAGCCGCCATATTGAAAAGATTCTGATACATAAATCCTGAACAATGGCCGAAAAAGAAGAGTTGACTCGAAAGAAAAGATGTCGAAACGGACATAGAACCTCAGCGAAACGAATTATGGCGTCTATAGGCGAAACTCTTATGAGTGTGGCGGAGAAATCGCAGTTAACTCCGCATATTGCGAAGTTAAAACAACAAAAGTCAACACTCGAAGCGAAGTTGAAATCACTCCGAGAGCAAGATGAAGCTATTTTGGCGCTGGTAAGTGTAGAGGACATAGAGTTAGAGATTGAGCAAGGGGATATTTCACGAGAGAAAATCGAGTCTGTTATTATTGAAGTACAAATGGCTTTAGATGAATATGAGAAATCAAGTACTACACAATTGAATACTGAAAACAATGTCATAACCCCAGTTACCCCTACGCAACCCACTACATCCATAACAGGGAATAATTCAGAAACTGCCAGTAACCATGGTGACAACAGTATACAAGCTGACCCTTCAAATTTCATGAATAATTACACCAAAATACCCACAGTAAAGTTGCCAAAGTTAAATCTTAGGGCATTTCGGGGAGATCCCACATCTTGGGCGACATTCTGGGATACTTTTGAGTCGTCAATTCACAACAATCCCACACTATCAAGTATTGATAAATTTAATTACCTCTCGTCACTTGTGGAAGGAACAGCAGCAGATGCAATTGCAGGATTAACCTTAACCACTCTAAATTATGAAGAAGCCATCAAAATATTGAAGAAGCGGTTTGGTAACAAACAGCTTGCAATCAATAAACACATGGATATTCTGTTAAATCTAGAGCCAGTTACTTCTCCACATAACTTAAAGGGACTGAGAACACTTTATGACACTGTAGAATCTCATATCAGAGCTTTGAAATCACTTGGGGTACAGGCAGAAACATATGGCAATCTATTATGCTCAATGTTACTCAATAAGTTACCTCAGGAATTGTGCATAATAGTGAGTCGAGAAGTACAAGGAGATGTTTGGGAATTGGGACACTTGCTTGAGTTGATTGAGAAGGAGCTAGAGGCCCGAGAAAGAGCAACTGCAAATACCAACAGGGAGACTTGGCCCCATTACCAAACAAAGAAATTTTCCAAACCACAACCCTCAATTTCAACCTTGCAGACAGGGGGTACATCACCGACATGCACCTACTGTCAGCAGTCACATACCTCAAATAGTTGCACCAATGTCTCTAACATCACAGCACGAATTGACATTATAAAGCGAAGTGGACGGTGTTTTCTCTGCTTGAGAAAAAATCATTTAAGTCGTGATTGCAACTCTAAGTCAAGATGTCATAAATGCAATGGTAAACACCACATAAGTATATGCACCAAGAATAGCAGTCATAACCATGCCCAGAAGACCCCATCCGATACAGAGCTTAAGCAACAACAGCATGAACAAACCTCTGAGAGCAAAATCTCAAGCAACAAACCCAGTAGATCAAATCAATCAGGGAATAGTGGCACAAAATCATTGTTTACAAGTACCAAGACCCCAATACTTCTTCAAACTGCAAAGGCAACAATCCTTCCTGTGAGTAGAAATGGTAAGAGTGGGAACGTGAGAGTTATCCTAGATGGCGGAAGCCAGAGGTCCTACATCACCAGTCGGACACAAGATTTACTAAGCCTACCCACTGAGCGAACTGAAACAATGTCAATAAAAACTTTCGGTTCTGGAGAAGAAAATCTAACCACCTGTGATTCAGTCAATTTTATTCTAGAAAGTCACACTGATAAGGTACAGTTGTCCTTGTCAGCCTTTGTTGTACCCACCATATGTGAACCACTGCAATACCAACTTGTCTCACAATCCCGCCACAATTACCCTCACTTACATGACCTAGTATTAGCTGATGATTCAATGGGAGAACTTGACTCGGAAGTGGACATACTTATCGGTTGTGATCAGTATTGGGACATAGTGACAGGAGAGATTCGAAAGGGAACAAATGGTCCGACAGCTATCAACACCAACCTTGGATGGGTCCTGTCCGGACCAGTCGAGAACCATTCACAACAGAGATTGGAAGCATCTGTAAACATGTCATCCACTCATGTTTTGCAGCTTGAAACCCCACCATCCCAACCAATGCACCACGAAGATGACCAACAACTGAGACGATTCTGGGATTTGGAGTCACTCGGTATATCAAAGGAAGAGAAGTCGGTTGTTGAAGAATTCACAAGTACCATAGGTTTCAAGGCGGGAAGATATCACGTTGAGTTGCCATGGAAAGAGCACCATCCTTTACTGCCTGACAACTATGAAATGAGTCGTAAACGACTGTGGAGTTTACTCGAGCGCTTGAAACGTGATCCCGAAGTCTTAAAGGAGTATGATGCAGTAATAAAGGATCAACTTACCAAGGGCGTTGTCGAGATTGTTGAGAAAGAAGATATTGGAGAGCTCGGAAAAGTTCACTATATTCCTCATCACGCTGTGATCAGGCGAGATAAAGAGACAACCAAGCTAAGAATTGTGTATGATGCATCCGCCAAAACATCTGGTCCGTCCTTGAATGAATGCCTCTATACTGGGCCCGCAATGACCCATAACATCATGGACATTATTCTTCGTTTTCGAAGCCACAAAGTAGCACTAGCGGGTGATATAGAGAAGGCTTTCTTGATGATAGCAGTTTCAGAAGCTGATCGTAATGTTCTACGGTTTCTTTGGTTCGATGATGTTTGGAGTGACCAACCTAAGATTATTGTCTTGAGATTTACGCGTGTAGTATTCGGAGTATCATCCAGCCCGTTCTTACTGAATGCGACTATCAGTCACCATATCGAACAGTACCGCGCTCAAGATCCTGCCTTTGTCGAAGCCTTCATGCGAGCTGTTTATGTAGATGATCTAAACTCGGGTGGGGATGATGACAAATCTGCCTACACTCTTTACAAGAAATCAAAGCTTAGATTGGCAGAAGGTGGATTTAACCTTCGGAAGTTTGTTACCAACTCGCCCGAACTGTTGACGAAGATCAAAAGTGAAGAGAACCCTCTTCCTAGAACTAATTTGAAGCCTAACCCTCAAGTGGACGAACCGCCAAACGATTGCGTAAATGAAGATGAAACGTACTCGAAGATTACGCTAGGAACATCCAATGAATCCTCTAATGAAGAGCACAAGGTTCTCGGGGTAGCGTGGAATTTTGTTGAAGATGATCTTGTGTTTGATCTTAGTCATGTGACCGAATTGGCATCCGAGTGTTCCCCAACAAAGCGAAATATCGTCCGTCTTTCTGCAAAGTTCTATGATCCGATTGGCTTCATGTCGCCAATAACAGTTCAATTCAAGATGTTATTCCAAGAACTGTGCGGAGAAAAGTTGAATTGGGACGATGAAGTACCCCATGATCTTAAAGTAAAATGGGACAATCTAGTTAATGAACTAAAACAAATGAATCGCATTCGGCTTTCTCGATGCTATTTTCGAGAGGTCGACGACCCAGTTATCTCCTGCATTGTCCATGGATTTGGTGATGCCTCGAAGGCGGCGTACGCCGCAGTAACCTACCTGGTCATGATTACCACAATTGGCATCAGAGTAAAGTTCTTAGCAGCGAAGACACGAGTCGCACCAATCGAGAGACAAACAATTCCGAGACTAGAACTTCTATCATGTTTGATCCTTGCAAGGTTAGTGAAGAATGTTCAAACGGCATTACGAGATGAAATTAAGTTGGATGATCCAGTCTGTTGGAGCGATTCGAAAGTGGCACTTTTCTGGATCACAAATGGCAATAAGGAGTGGAAACAATTCGTTGAAAATAGAGTGAGTGAAATCCGGAGCCTCTTACCCACAGCCACCTGGCGTCATTGTCCCGGTCGAGATAATCCTGCCGATATTCCATCCAGAGGAATAAAACCGACGGAGCTTACAAGCAATGAGCTGTGGAGCTGTGGCCCTGAGTGGCTAACCGATGTTGAAACACACTCTTGTCAAGATGAGAAGGAAATTACGCCTCCGAAGGAATGTCTCGTTGAAGTTCGATCCACCAAGTCGAGAACTGTTAACCTAATTGTGAACACCACACCCCAAACCCTTAGCAATATCATCAATATCGAGAACTTTGGAACCCTCGACAGACTGGTGCGAGTGACGGCTTATGTCTTACGTTTTGTGAAGATATTGAAGGCGAAGACCAGAAAGAGTGACATAGACGTAGAGCCCAGTTTAACAGTGAATGAGATTCGTGAAAGTAGAGAATTGTGGATCAAAGAAATGCAAAGAAAATTGCCCGAGAAGAACCAGTTTGAACAGTGGAAGGCAGAGTTTGGGCTTTACACTGACGAGCAAGACATCTGGAGGTGCAAAGGTAGACTGGAAAAGGCGAACCTACCCCAGTCAGCAAAGCATCCAATTCTAGTTGACAAAGAGCATTATTTCGCATCATTGATCGTTTACGACAGCCACAGAAGAGTGATGCATAATGGAGTCAAAGAGACGTTGACTGATATAAGATCGCAGTACTGGATCGTCCGTGGGAGACAGTTTGTGCGAAAGTTGATCGGGAGGTGTTCTATTTGTCGGAGATTCGAAGGCAAACCCTATCAAGCTCCACCACCACCTCCCCTACCCGAATTTCGAGTACGAGAAACACCACCTTTCACGCAACAGGAATGATTTCCTTGGTCCGCTCTATGTTCGAACACACGAGAAGAGCGAAAAGGTGTGGGTATGCCTTTACACATGTTGTGTAACGAGAGCAGTGCATTTGGACATTGTACCAACCCTGACAAAAGAAGGATTTATTCGAAGTTTTCGGAGATTTACCGCGAGACGCGGTGTTCCGTCAACGATTGTGTCGGACAACGCCGGGACGTTTAAGGCGGCATCGCGGGAGATCAAAACGATGTTGAGAGATCCAGAGATAAGGCGATTCTTCGTCGGCATGAACATCACCTGGTCGTTCAATTTACCCAAGGCACCCTGGTGGGGTGGAATTTTTGAAAGACTTGTCAAATCCACCAAGAGGTGTTTAAAGAAGACTGTTGGAGGAGCTCAATTAACTTACGAAGAGCTCCTGACGGTGGTCGCTGAAGTGGAGATGATATTGAATTCCCGTCCAATATCATATGTTTCTACCGAAGATCTACAAGAACCACTCACTCCGTCACATTTGTTAACGGGACGAAGATTACTGAGTATGCCAGAGCAGGACATTGGCAATGACATATTAGATCCCGAATTCTCGTTAAACGATAAGGACTTAAGTCGAAGAATGAAGCACTTGAGCACACTAATGAATCATTTCTGGACCCGTTGGCGTGACGAATATTTAATGGAACTGCGCAATTCACACCGCGGTAAGAACGACAACGGAAAGGGAACTATCCGTGCGGGGGATATAGTTGTGGTTCACGACGAGTCGCAACCTCGAGCATGTTGGAGATTGGGCAAAGTCGAAAGGTTGATCAACGGAGAGGACGGAAACGTGCGGGGAGCGATCGTTAGAATCAGTCCAAAGGGGAAACGGCCGACGACTTTGAAAAGATCGGTACGGTTACTTTACCCACTAGAGGTAAGGTCCGACTCGGAAGCTGAAGAAAATCGTTACGGAAAGAACGAACTTGACGAAGCGATCGGAAATGAAATGAACCAAGTCGAAGTAAAGAGACCAAGACGTGAAGCGGCGAAGCGGGGAGAAGAACGGCGAAGGAAATGGATCGAGGAACTGAATGACAGCTAAGTAGCTAGTGTAGAGATATTGCGATAGTAGAAAGACTACTTGCATTGACAACGTTGATAATTCAAATTTGTAGACTACGTAATTGTAGTTTAGTTGTTTCACTGTTTGTTGACCAGTAGTTGCATGCACTGGTCAACGGGGGGAGTGTCAGAGATTGCGTAATATTCTATGACGTTTATTTTTGTGAACACATGGAATACTAATGAGACGAGCGTAGAGTTTTCATATGGCAGCGTTTTTGTAATAAAGTTTGTGTTATTTATATTTTAATGAGTCTGAACCACGCATGAGTTGAGCCTTGAACCTTGGAGAAAGGAGTCCTTTGAGAGTTTTAATCTAAGTATTTTACACCGTATAGCAAATATAACAGTCGAGCATGTTTTGAAATGTTATTCTTAAAATCATCATTCAACCTCATAGCTGCAATGCCAAGTTTAAAGTGAACAAATAACAAGACAACTATATTAAAGAAATATTCAGGATATATTTAAAATGTATAATTGAAAGATCAAACTTTTCCGTATTCCTAGGAAGAATCGCGATAACCGACGTCTTCACCACGTAGCAAATTAATAATATACTTTCTCTGTTCTGGTTCAACTGAATTTCGAAGCCTAAACACTTGAAATATAAGAAAGTTTCCTCGAAAGCATTAACAGGCGGCATATTTTTGATACGCGACAATAAAACGCGTCAACGCGAGCAAAATTATTGTTGACATTTGAGTTACGTAATTACTTCCGTTAACGAGATTAACCAATGGGAAGCTTTTCCGAAGATTCTTCGGAGAAGAACAAATTAATCATAGGCATTTGGGCAGGCGTTCATTTAACGACGCCTTTTCTTCTCCCGCCCGCACTAAACGCCTGCTACGCAGGCTAGTCAATAATAAAATGGGTGCAATATGCATGCGTGTCAACCGCGAAGTTCCAAAGTACATTTTTTAAACTTTTTATTTACGGCGTTCCATTTATCCAGTTTTGGTTTCAAATTAAGTTCACTCCAATAACAGGTGAATTATTCATACTTCGACACTTATATACTATATAACAAAACACTTATTTACTGAGACCTCGGGAAAGCAGTGTGTTTTGTGCCCCTCGACTGCCGTTGTTGCCCTCGAGTTCGCCTTGGGCAACAACGGGTAGGATTAAAGTGCCCTGCTCTGGCAAGTACAAGTTCACTCTCGTTGATGGTAAGCCTCGTGAGGTGACAACTTCTGAGGTGATTACAAATGTCTTCATTACACAATTTGTACAACTTTCTGTATTCCCCGGCTTTCTCCGCATGCAAAATTCCCCAGACCAGCAAACAGGGACGAAACTTGAGGGCGGGGGGGGTGACACCCCAAAGCCCCCAAAGTACAAATCATCTGGATTGGCAGGGCAATGAAGATTTTAAAAGATAGAATGTAGAATTATTAAGTAGCTTCCAGAGGGAATATTAATTGAATAGAATTTATAGACCTATATTTTACAGATATTGGTAAAAAATATGGGTTTCATGCATGTTTTAACAGGAATTTGTCCGAAACAATTGAATGTGCGGAAAAAAAATTTTCGACCTCCCCCCTCCCCGCTGCAGGGCATTTTTGCTGCAGGGCATCATCGGCTTTCGCAGGGCAATTCTAGCAGACCCCCCCCCCCCATTAAAAGGGGTTAGTTTCGCCGCTGCCAGCAAAGGAACAGTTCTTTTCCATGACTCAAGCATGCACAAAGTAAAAATAGGAGATGCTATTAAAAATAACTATGCTAGTGTTACAGTTCTACTTGTGAGAATGTAGATTTCAAAGTCAAAATACTAGAACTTTCCCACTTCCGCTTTTGTGGTTTGTTGTCTCTTACTGAATTTCTGTTATTGTAGCGGTTAACAAATTATAGGGAAATACGACGACATAAGTTAAATTTCGAAACCTTTATGTGTTCATATGCAGTGAATCAAACGAAAAATGTATCCTTTGTTACAAGGTTTTATCTCCATATTTCTCCATAATTCGGCAACCGCTACGTACACTTTTTATATACAGCCAGAGATACTGACAGCTTTGAAATTTGCTATAACCACAGAAAGTACCGCCCGTTTATACTTTAAAAAGATATTTAACAGTTGTGAAATTATTCATGCAAATAAGCCAAGAATGGTTAAGGTTGTATCTTGTATTTTGAATGTTTCTATGTTGTGAATTAGAACCTGGATAATAAACCAGCTTATTTAACTTTTTAATTATTACTAGTGTCCCTAATCAGCGAACACGCGAATGTAAACAAACAGCTAAAAATAGACCCAATTTGGAGATTTATAACTTTTGAGAAAATTGCTTGCAGACGAGTTTTATTCCTGATTACTTAACTTTAGTAGGTATACTTTCAAATTACATGCCTTTTGAACTTCAGATAGGTGCCACTTTTGAGCTATTTTAAGTAAAATATGAGCAATTTTGAGCCTCTCGTCGCCATCTTGAAAACATAGTTTCGTAAAACTATAAAAAAATCGTATTAAGCAAATAAAGTTGTTCAATCTCCATGAAAACGAGAGTATTAGTGCTAATCTTGCATGTGAACAGTAACTGGAGGGGATAAACGCATCACAACGTTTTTAAAAAATCAGATGAATTCTTGTAAAATTCCCCTTCATTTCCGGTCTGAAAATATTCTCGCAAGGTCAAATTTTAACATGGCTATAACTCCTATAAAACAGAAAGTTGAAACGTTCTGAAAGAAGCTCGATTAATATTGACCAATGTCTAGTTCATATGCAAAATATGAGCTAAATCTATTTTCCCTTCCCCAAACTAGTGGGTGGATTTTACTGAGAGGCCCTCTTAATGGGCTAATGTGTGTTTCTGCAGACCAGAGAAATTTCCAGTCAGATTTTTTTCAAAATTTCATTCATAAAAAGTTACTTAAAGGTTGGGATTTCATGTCCAAAGGATAGGTATAGTATAATAGGTATAATCAGGAAACCTGAAACCCACATATTTTTTATTTGGTCTTATAGCCTTAAAAAAATTTGTATTTCTCTGTTCCTTACCAAGTTTGCTTTTTTCCCAAGTGTAATAAATGTTGTTGTAAATATGTTGTCCACTGCACAGATATTTTCCATTAAAACTTCATTGATGATAAGGTGTTGCACAAATTTAATTGAGTCCGCATCATTTTTAAAAGCATTTTTTCCAAAGCCATAATGGGGAATTAGGTGAAATCCTTTCGCTTCTATATCACGCTTTGACTTTGAGCCTTTGAAAATGAGAGCAAGCTGCTTAACATTAATCTTGGCATTAACTGCCAACATTTCTTCAAGACAAAGACATGTGTTGATGGTTTCCATGGTGTAATCCTTGGGTAATGGTGGTGTTGTAAGACAATTGTCACATGATCCATTACAGTTTACATCAAATCCATCATCAAAGTATTCTAGGATGAGCTTTCTTCGGCATATTGATGACATACAGTAAGACACAACTTTGTTCAATGAATGTGTCTGGAATTGCATGTGATCTTCAGATGTTGATTTGTAAATTAGCTGGATCAGTTTATTTCTGTCCTCAAACCGAAACATGAGAATACAATGTGAGGTGTTTCCATCACTACCAGCTCTCCCAGCTTCTTGATAGTATTCTTCAAGTGACCTAGGTAAGCTAAGGTGGATCACAAAACGGACAGCAGGTTTATCTATGCCCATTCCGAAAGCACTTGTAGCACATATTACCTGTGCCTTTCCTGATAACCAAGCTCGAGCATTGTCAGTTCTCTCAAAGTAATCAAGTTGACCATGGTAATATACACATGAAAACCTTTGGATTTAAATATGTAGGCCAACTCAACAGTATCTTTGGTACTAAAACAGTACACAATACCACAAACATTTAAGAAATTTTCTTGAACATGCTTGACTATATCTTCTTTGGCATGTGGACCACTTTTGTTGAGTACTCTGAAAACCAAATTGCCCCTATTACAGGTTGATTGAAGAACAACAGGTTGAACGAAGCCTAGTTTCTCCACAATTCTCTGCTTTGTTTGGTTTGTTGCAGTTCCTGTAAACGCCACAGTGGGTCGGTTAAAGTGCTTAAGTGTACTGAGCTGAGCATATGATGGTCTAAAGCTTTGTCCCCATGTGTCAACACAGTGTGCTTTGTCAATTACAAACCGCAATAATGTTTTGTTTCCTGACATTGCTTGAAAACATGCTGTAGCGGGTGGAGACATGGCAAACTCTGGTGTCAAGTAAAAAAATTTCTAAGGTGATTCTCTGTCAGTTAGTTCATGAAATATAATGTCTCGTTCCTCAGGGGTCATACTCGAGTTGGCACAACAGACATTTATCCCATAGCTTCGTAATGTTGAAACTTGATAATTTATTAGTGCCATCAAAGGTGTAATTACGACAATAATGCCTGTGCTTGACAGACCTGGAATCCCATACAGGGGCGAAACTAGCCCCTTTTAATTAGGGGGGTGTCTGGCAGAATTGCCCTGCCAAAACCAGTGATGCCCTGCAAAATTTTTTCCGGAAAAATTATTTTGGCGACCTCCCCCTTTGGCAACCTCTGTGTACCATTTTAGGGGTCAAAAAAATTTTCCGGACAACCTATATTTTTCGGAACATAACACAAATTTTCGAAAAATCACACAATTTGCGAAAAAATTTACTTAATTTTAGCTAAAATTGACTGAATTTGTCCCATTTTTTTTTCAAACCAAAATTGCCCGACTGTTGATCGAATATTGCCCCCGCCCGGTACGCCTATGTGCTATCATTTATTTATAAGAGACCTTTGATTGCCCTGCCAATCGGGATGATTCGTATTTTGGGGGGGTGCAACACCCCCATACCCCCCTCAAGTTTCGCCCCTGATCCCATAACACATTGATTTACCTCCCCCTGTTGGTATAACTGCTAAGGCATCTTTATTTGTTGTAACTACATCTATCACTCTCCTTTGTATACCACGAAAGTTTTTATGCTGGAAAATGTTTCGAAGTATGTCAAGGTGGACGTCACCAGATGGCTGTGGAATATTATTTTCGGTTGTCATCACATCACTTAACGACACAATATTTGCAATTGGTGTACTAGGCATATGTGATCTATGGTCCTATAAGACAAAAATAAATTACTAACCAAATAATATTTTGTCAATTAAATTAAATTATGAGCATTTAATTGGCTAATTATGATCTCTGATACTCAATAAAAAATTCCATTTTTCATCTTCCAGTGGTACAATGGAGCTCATTCAAGTCAAAATTATGCACTATTAAAAATGTTTTTGGACATTTAACTGATACAGTATATGTATTTCCTATAAAAAGTTTTAAAACCAGTATAAATGAAATCCATACTGGAATACAGGTATATGCACCACAGAATATCACAGTATCACAGAATACCAGTTTTTGTATTTTTCTTATAAAATTTGAAGGAACCACGCTATATACTTTTTAGTGAATATATTAGTTTTAGTCTCAATGGTCATATAAAAATGAAAAATGGATATTTTCATAAAATTCTTAAAAATAATCGGGATAAACAACAAATAAAATTCCTTATTTTCGTTACTTTTTTTCTGCGTAATGGCCGTGAAATTAGAAAGTTTGAAAATAAGTTCGCAAACCAACACGATTTACATTCATCAACAGTTTTTCTAAGCAATACAACATTTTTACTATTCAGGAATCTCACTGAGTAATCAAATTTACTATAAAAAAGTCAATTTTTCAAAATGTTCGGTAAACCGAATATACTGTGGTACATACCACCGGTATTCTGTAGTAATTTTAGTATTTACCTTCCACTAAATTAAGTTAGCAAATTAACATGACACACCAAATCCTCGTACTATTATAACTAATAGCATAAAAAGAAGCGAATTAGCTATTAAAACGTCCCGCCCGATGAGGGTTGTTTAGTATAATTCCCTTGGGCGCCGCTCGATGAGGGTATACAAAACAATTTATACAGATAGAGGTACATACCTTTGTTCTACGATAGTCAAATATCTTATTTATGCATTCCCGTGTTTCTTGTTCGTGTAACATCTTGCAAATACGAATGGATTCGTCTCTTGCTTCACTTGTAAATTCTTACTTATGCCTTATTCAGAGATGATGACCAATATCATTTTCAAGAAAAAAATCCCTTCTACTAATACATTCCTCATTTGGACATAAAACCTTTCCCATGCATACATTTCTGTGAATCAGTCTTTCAAATTCAGAAAGAATCTGCGCAATTTCCTCATTTGCATTTATGAATAATAAATCGTCCGCCATGTTGTATGCAAATTCTGCCGGGCGCCTTCTTCCCTTCATCCTGCCCAAGCACCCCCATGCGCTCGCTATCTTAGCCACTGATCTATATAAAAACACTGTAGTGTTGCTATTTTTAGTACGTTATTTGCGCCTGGGTACGAGGCTGATTTTGGTCCATCATTGTTCATGAAAGGCTGGCTGTATCCAGCTTCAACCATTTGAAGTCTCTGGTGGAAAGTTAAGAAGTCAATTAAACTGAGTCCCACTTATGGACAAATAACTTTTAGTCGTTATTACTGATAGTATTTAATTTTGATGGAGAAAATGCATGAAGTCATAAATGACAGAGCTAAGTCAGCTGGCTATCATAATTCATGACCGATTGTGTATTAATTTCACATTTTTCATGCAGACATTTTCCAGGCACATTTTCAAATAATATTTGTGATCCAAGCCACACAAAAATGTTATTGACCCCTGATGTAAAGTACACATGCATGTACATGTAGATGAACATGAAGGAAATACAGTATGTATTTGATGTTTTTCCTATGTACCTTTTAGTTTTGTTATGAGAATTCCCAAGTAACTGTATGGAATGACGCCAAATATTTTGTTATCACTGTCTTCAGGGCCTTTTTTAAGGATTTTCCCGTGGGGGGGGGCATATTTTTTGAAAAGGGACCTTTCTGTGAGATAATATATTAGAGGGCCAATGGCTGAAGGCCACGTGTGTGACCAATATACCACGCATGAATGGGGGTTCTGGGGGTGTACTCCCCCAGAAAATGTTTGAAATTTGAATCCCGGAAATGTCATTTCCTGAATTCTGAGCATCCAAATCTGCTCCAAAATTTATACTAACTGTACTTGTGTTTGAAATAAATAAAAGAAAAAACGCACAAAAAGTAAAAAAAAAATAACTATCATTTATCATTACTTATTAGAGGAGGATAGCAATGGCCACGTGTGTGAGGGTGTACTCCCCCAGAAAAGTTTGGAAATTTGAAGCACGGAAATGCCATTTCCTGCATTCTGAGCATCCAAATTTACTCTAAAATTTAGGCTAACTATACCTGTATTTGAAATAAAAGAAGGAAAAATGCACAAAAAGTAAAAAAAAGAAAATTAACCGTAATTTATCATTACTTATTCGAGGGAGATAGGAATGGCTAAGGGCCATGTGTGTGGGGCATAATCCCCAGAAAATTTTTGAAATGCCGGAAATGCCATTTCCTGCATTCTGAACATCCAAAAAATAAAAAAATTATTAACAATAATTTATCATTACTTAGTGGTAGAAAAACGTAACAATTTAAATCGATTTTGTTAAACAAGAACAAAGGATAAAGCCTAAAACTTACTTTCCGTTTATCTATTTGTTAATCTTCGCTGGTTTGTTTGTATAATTTGGGGGGGGGGGGGCACAAGGGGGACTGGGGGGCATTTGCCCCCCCTTCCCCCAACTTGTATGTTAAAAAAGGCCCTGACTGTCCTATATTATTATTATTATATTATTATATTATATTATTATTATTATTATTATTAATCAATTGATAAATTACATATCAAGTTATTTATTGAGCGTTCTCTGACTTAATATTTATTTCTACGAGCTTTCGGCTATCAGTCTATAGCCTTCGACGGGTGTATACAAATGATTCTATAAAGGACGCTAAAATTTAAAATTTTACCGTCCTTTATAGAATCATTTGTATACACCCGTCGAAGGCTATAGACTGATAGCCGAAAGCTCGTAGAAATAAATATTAAGTCAGAGAACGCTCAATAAATAATGTTTAGGTTATATTAGAGTTGCAAAGCTAAATTATATCTAAAAATACATCTATTGATGAAACTATTTTTAAAACGCTCGGTAGAAATGTTTGGCCACTGTGCCTCTTGTGTTCTAAGTTTAACTGTATATTCTTTAATTTTTGGACAGATTTCTCTTAACGGATGATTGTTTTGTTTACACAGCTTTTCAAACAGCTTTCTATCTGTCTGTTCTAACAGTATATTAATATCTATTTGTTCTGATGTGAATCTTCTTTTATAACAACGAGTTAAGAAGTTTTGAATAGTTGTTAACTCCGGTGGTGATGCAGCAATTACTGGTAAGCCATAGGTAAGTTGTGACAGGACCAGTGACCTAAAAAGAAGATCTAATTCGTCTTGACTATATCCTTCATTCCTTAGTTTTCGAATTACAAACAAGCATTTATTTGCTTTCACCAACTTTTTCTTAACACATTTCTCAAATCTGCTTGTCATTTCAAAGGTTAGCCCCAGTATTTCAAGACTAGAATGCTGTT